AATTTTGTGTGTACATGCATAAACTTTCCTACACAGACTGCCAATGAAGCCAAGTAGATGCGCGTTTGCGAACAAATGCAGCCAGCCATGAAAAGCCTTCTAGAGGACAGGACATTTTCAGTGCTTTAAAATGCTTGTCACAGCCTGTCTGTAACACTGACATCAGGTAACATTTCTATGCCTCTTTTCAGTTGCAACTAAAACTTAAATTTGGTAGATTTATGCTACCTCAAAGATTTTGAGAGCTATATGCAAAGTCTAGAAGAACACAGAAAGCTGTACAGGTAGTTCTCAATTTAGAGCCGTAATTTAATCTGGCAATTATGGTAGTTAAGTGATGATGGTTCTAAAATGCGTCATCATAGGACCAAAACCAAAATTATGATTTTTGTGGTGGTCGTTTAGGTAGACCCACTGTTTGCTGTAGGATTTCTTTTTCCTAGATACTGTCTGTGAGGCATTGCAAATGGCCATAAATGCAAACTTGCATGGGTTCAGTCATAAGTCAAGGACTATCTCCTCAACTCACAACCATGACAATTTGAATTAAGCCTAGGAAAAAGTCTATAATGACCTAAAATAGAACTTTTGATCATCACCCGGTCATGTAATCACAATTCGGACTCTTGGCAACAGGCTCAATTTTTTTTAATGCCACCTTTGTTTTTATAAATAACTCAACGTGGCAAACATATCTAATAATCTCCTTCCTATTTTCCCTACAACAAACTTATGAGATGACTTGGGCTATGAAAGAATGATTTTCTCAGCTGGCTTTCATGCCCAAGGCAAGACTAAAACTCAAAGTCTCCTGGTTTCTAGGCTTAATGGGTATAACAAACTGGCTCTCATTTACAATTGGCTGCAGCATCCCATGGTCACATGACTGCAATTTGCAACAGCTTTTGCTGATTCCAGCAGAAAACTGGATTCACACTTTTACAATCACATGACTCCACTTAGGACCATGTGATTTGACTTATAATCATGGTAAAAATGGTTGTAAAATCATGTCCGGTTATGTGATGATTCAACTTACAGCCATAATGGCTTAGGATAAAAGTTCCGGTTCCCAGCTGTGGTCGTAAGCTGAAGACTACCTATATCCTAATTCCTAAAATTTCAGTTTTCTTTCTTTTTTGTTTGTTTCTTTAAAAAAGCAGATTCTCAGTTCCTATGGCTTTGAAGGAATATTTGGAATCAATGTGGGCAACACTATTTAAAACCTGGGGCTTATGAATATCTACAGACCCCTCACATCCTGGACATAAATTGTTTCAACTTCTACCCTCAAAACGACGCTGTAAGGCACTGAGCACCAGAACTAGAAACAAGGACAGTTTTTCCCTGAATGCTATCACTTTGCTTAACAACCAATTCCCACAACACTGTCAATAATTTACTAAGACTGTATTACTATTATTCTTCTCTTCCTTCCTAGCATCCATCTCTCCCCACTTATGACTATAACCATGTTGTCTGTATCTTTCAATTTATATTGTTTTTATTTGTTTCCTAGTACGATTTTATAGCTTATTAGTAACCTTGACTATCACTAAGTGTTGTATCTTTTTATTCTTGTATTTTATTGTCTTATGTAGACTGAAAGCATATGCACCAAAGACAAATTCCTTGTATGTCCAATCACACTTGGCCAATAAAGAATTCTATTCTATTCTATTCTATTCTATTCTATTCTATAAGAGCCTTTGGTACTGTCTAAGAGTGGTTGTTTGCTTGCAAATATTTCACTAATCAACTAATCAACTAAGTAATGTTATTAGCGCTAGTGACTGGGGGTTCAGTCCCTATTTATATACAGTAGTTTGCCCTGCAAATGGTTTCTGCTTGATCATCTATATCGGCAACATAGAGACTCATCTGCAATATACAACCCGCCACTATAACAGCCATTAGATAGGATAGACAGGGAGAAGACTAGCAGAGCACATCATGAATACCAATAAGCAGTCAGAAGTAACCATGAAAACTCCTTAATCTCACAACACAGAGACAGGCTCAACCACAGTTTCATCCAAGAAACTCTGAGCATCCTAGAGTAAGCTAAATCGAAAAACTCTAGGCAATTCCTGGAAGCTTGGCATTCTTACAAATCAGCCATCAATACAAACATAGAGATAAACCACATTTGCACATCATTCAAGAGACAATAAAAAGGCAAAAAGAAGAAACAAACAAACAAAAAGTCCAGATCGAGAGACACCAACTGGTGGTCCATGGACCACTGGTGGACCGCGAGAACATTTTGATGGTCCACAGAAAAATTATTTGCATTTTTTATATTGCACTAAATACTATTTATCCTTTAAAAAAATCATAGTAGTAGTCTGCGGGATTTAAAATTATGAATTTAGTGGTACCTGATGTCCAAAAGGTTGGTGTGGTCCAGATCACATCCTCCTTAGCAGTTAAAACCCAGGTAAGCAGAGATTAACACCAGACAAACAAGCAGAAAATAATACCCTAATCAAGGAATTACCAAAGAGAAAAATATACCCTCACCAACATTTATTTATTAATTAGACTTATATACCGCTTCATTATACCCATTTGCAGGGCAAAAGTACATAAACGAACAGCCAGCCCCACACTGTTTAGCACTGAGGATATTATATAGTTGGGTAATGAAATGTTTGCAAGTAAACAAAGCTCAGAGGGCACCAAGGACTCCACAGTTCAACTCTGATCTACATATATTCTCTTCTATTCTGAAAGCTCTCCAGTGTCCTACACAGAATTGGGTTTCTTCCCAATTTCTATAAACAGACTGTTTCATGAAGAAAAATAACACAATTATAAAGTATGACAAAAATAAATACAATTTTTTGCTTGATTTGTGTAATGCTTTCTAGGGGTAACAATCTGGTTAGCCTAATCGCATTTTGTGTATGATGGCAGTGGGGAAATTGATTTATATTTGTGTGCACTCTCTCTCTCTCTCAACACATAAACCTTATGTTGTGCAGAACTTTGGATTCCAACTGAGAAATGTTATTTTGTGCCCCCGTAACATCTGCTGGAAACACTTTAAAGCATCTGTGACTTCTCTTCTCCTCCCCCCAGCTTGTGCGGCTGCTCTTCACAGCTGCAACTTTATCCTGGAAAAGATGCATTTGGTTTAAGGCATTTCCAACAAGTTCTCTGTGCATGCCTGTGGAAACGCCGAATGACATTTCTTCCTTTGAGTCTGAAGTGCACTTCAGCTCTAACAGACATGAATACAGACCTAACCATTCAATGAATGCATTATGGAATTCTTCCTCTTGTGATATAAACCTGTACTATACCTACCACTGCTTCAGCTCCAATGAGAAGTTGACTCTGGTAATGCTTCTTAATTTATTTCAAGTAATCATCCACTGAAGCCAAGGGTATGCATGAGGGGTGTGTGTGTGTGTGTGTGTGTGTGTGTGTGTGTGTGTGATTCAAGAAGGCAACCACAACCATGAAATCAAAGCCCTGTTTTACATGCAATGCAATATCCATAAAAGGGACAAGGCTTTAATCTCATCGTTACAGCCGCAATCTTGACTTTTTTTTGCACATACCCTGTGCATTCCCTTGGTTCCAAAGGATGATTTTCTGAAGCAAATTATAAAGCATTAGAGAAGGCAGCTTCCCCCAACTCGGCACTCAGTAATGTTGGAAATCACAACTCACAGCCTAGAGAGTACCAGTTCTCCCTTGCTTTTTCAAGAGGACAGATTTCTTTCACAATAGATATACTGAAGTGGTTGTGCCCACAGCTGCCTGCATGAGTAAGCTCAACTGAGATTCAGGATTCCCTTGGGGGCAGCTGAACTCCCAAGTGCTGAAAGAAGGAGGGGGGTCAATCAGCTGTGTTAACAGCATGACACACCTCATTTATTTCCAATTTTCTATCGTGGTTGTCCTATGATGACAGGTAATGAGGCAGACATAAGAACTGGACTGGCTTGTACAGTAGCACAGAAGCTACTGCCTTGAAAATGAAAGGGAAAAGCAACTATGAAGGGTCAGTAAAAATTCAGATTAGATCTAGGATTTACTTCCAGTTATAAACAGTGCTTGAGAGAATATTCTAATAAAAAACCCTTAATTCTGTGTTTCCAACATTAGAGCATATACTTCAGTCAATCTACATAGGCAGTCCTGTCAAGAGTCAGATATAATTTCCAGCAGCAAGGATGTCAAGCATCTTTTAGAGAGGGGTCAATCTCAGAGCTACTTCTGAAATGATTGAATCTTCAGATGGAGAATTAAAATGAAAGGCTTGGATTAGAAAGACTGTGTGTTACATAAATATAAAAGTCTTGCAATTCTTGCATGTTATTCATTCACCCACATATTACACCCCATGACCAGACTTCCAGGGTGGCACACTTCATATGCAAACTTTTATTTCCTCAATTTGATAGTTTCTAAAGGTGTTGAATTTGCAACTTGCATAAATCCCAGGTAGCAATAGACCAAGCAGTCCTCCTCACTTGTTGACTCTCCAATCATGCTGGAACTGCAAGTCCCAGAATTTCCTAGAGCAGCACATCTACGACTAGGAGTGTTGTTCTAAAATACACATAAAAATCAACCGTATAATATGTACTATCAAAATCACTCTGGCAGTGGCTTTCTAAAATTAAAGTTATGGCCCAGTCTTCTAAAAGACAAAGGGTCTCATCTGACAAGAAGAGGCCACCACAAAAAAGATCTTATTCCCCTCCACCATGTTTTTAACCAGTGGTTGGGATTCAGCCAGTTCGCACCACTTCAGGAGAACCAGTTGTTAACTTTTTGAGCAGTTTGGTGAACTGGTTGTTGGAAGAAATCATTAGGGCAGAGAACCAGTTGTTAAATTATTTGAATCCCACCACAGTTTTTAACCTCTGAAGGACCACATATTTGGAGTGAGGCCTCTGCAGTGACTTTAGGGATTTGAAGGGAAAACCATGCTGTCAATTGGAATTGGGCTTTCTTTATAAATGTGTTTTAAGGATACGTACCGCATTGCTCTCAGTGCAGTTTTGTATGCTAGTTCAGCATCATGAGGTAGGAGAGAGGTAAAAAGATACTTGGCAAAGGTATGCATTGGAACACTCTCCCGATGGATGATTTCACCTAGACCGCTATAGGGTCCAGCTATTGGAGAGGGGAGGCAAAAGAACAGAAAATCTTATAATGAGAACTATAATTTTACTGAACATAAAATCAAGACATATCAAAATGCTAGAAATTTTGCACTAATTTTTGCCAAAAAGAAAACATCCACTACAAAGTAAAAACTCTCTCTGGTGAGGAGCCCTCTCAAAAAAACTGGAAGAAAACCAAGTAGAACATATTGTATCAAAGCAAAGAACTGAAGCGTGTATAGCTTTTTGAATCATATTTTAAAATGTGTTTTAACAGAATATAGTTTACAGCTCAGGAAAGTATTTGAACACGAGCAATATATTCCAATGCAAATGTCCCAATTTATGTGGGTTGGATAGTCGCGCAAAATATGTATTTTTCCTCAGAGTGTCATGCCTGCTAAAGCAGGTCACTGTAAGTAATGCCTGAATCCTTCCTTAGACCACTCACCCAAATTCACAGTCCAACTATAACAACAGAACATTTTAGGCGTGGCATATTATATCCTTGGAAGTAGCTATTCCGTGACTCTGTAGGGTCTGTATATATAATGAAGACCTTCTCAAGATCTACTATCAGAACTGAACATATATGATGCTAGGTATATGATCTACTACTACAATATTGATAGAGAATGGTTGCCCTTAAGTATCAACTTTTATATATAGGAAAGCATTTCTGGTATCTTTGAGAGTTTTAGGAACAGATCTCTATCTTAAATCCTGGGGAATTATTGTCAGTGAGTGCAATTGAGCTCCCCAAACTGCTAGTGTGAATCAGTATAAGCTATTTTTCTATAAATCTTATTTTAAAAATAAAAGGGAGACAATCACCTTTAGAATTAAATTTCATGGAAAACATCAGTTATGACAGATTTTATCACTTTTTACCTATTAATCCCATTACATTTTTCCTGACTTAGGAGAAGCCGAAGAGCCTTCTGAAAGGAAGCTAAAAGTAAGTGCAAGGAAGCTGATGACCACAGTATCCTGAAAAACTGTAGCAGAAAAATATGAATTATTGTGCTTCTAAGATCCTTAATGAAAATAAACTGTATCTTTTTTATTTTTTTCTCAATGATATCTCCAGAACTACTACTTTATACAAATTAACACTATTTTGCATTTTGAACCATTTCAAGCAGTTTCCTTTAAGCATATATTTAACCGCTTCCACTCTTAGGCAATAAAATAATAGAAAGTATTTTCAGATGTTACAGTTTTAAACATTTAAATATTTGGCATTATAACTGAGGGCTGCTGTATTATTGCACATGACAATTATCTAACAATTATTGTAAAATATCTGGGACTTGTGAAGTGGATAGGTTCTTTGGTGGAATGAGTTTAGTCTGCATTTTAAATTTGTGCCCATCCCATGCAGGCACAGTTGAATCTTAGCAAGGATGGGATTCTGTTAAAGGAGGCCTTCTGGATCCATAAAGATTCATTCCATCAGTGCTGATGGGAGTTGTGCTGCCCGGGACAAAGCAGGAATATTAACAAAGAGTTTTTTGGGCTCATAGTTGTTCATGGAATATGTGTTTAGACTAGGGGTGAGATTGAAAAATTTTAGCAACTGGTTCTCTGCCCGGTTGCTGGGTGGGTGTGGCAATGGAAGCGTGGCCTAGTCGGCTTCCTGCACCACGGTGGTGGTGGGGAGTTTTCACCCTTCCCAGGCTTTGGAGGCTTTCCTTGAGCCTCTGGGAGGGTGAAAACGGCCTGTCCCAGGCTCTGTTTCCGAACTTCCAAAAAGCTTGTTTTTCACCCTCCCAGAGCCTCCACAGGGGGCCTGCACTTACCTGGCATGAGGGGTGGGAGGGGTCAGCTGATCCTTGTAAATACCGGTTCAGCGAATCAGATTAAAATTAGCATCTGGTTCGCCCAAACCAGTCCGAACTGGCTGAATCCCACCCCTGGATTAGACTAAGAAAACCACAACAAACCATCATCATTTTAAATTTAAGACTTCTGCAATTTGATCTATGGGGCGGAGTGGGGTGTACATGAACACAATCCTGCAGCTGTAGCTGGCACAAAACATAGCTGCCTGCCTACTGAATGGAAAATAACTGGTTTAGTAGAACAACTTCACTGGTTGGCAATAGGTTCCTCAGTCCAATTCAAAGTGCTAATGATTGCTTCTAAAGCTCTGAATGATTTGGGTTCTTGATGCCTTTGGGACAATCTGGACGAAGTAGAATCGGCCTGCCCACCAAGTGGGGTACATGGGTTTTCACCCTCCAAGAGATCAAGCAAGCAACTGCAGCTTGAAAGGACGGTCTTTTGGACAACAGCTGTCTCACTTTGGAGTATATTTTCCCCAGAGGCCACAATGGCATCAAAGGCAGTGAAAACTAACCTCTTTTGCAAGGCCTTTGGGATGGAAGCTCCACAATACTGAAGTTAGTTTTGATGTGGAAAATAATCTTGATTTTAATCAAATAATCTTTGGTGTGGATATTTATCTTGTTTTTTTAAAAAAAACATACTGGATTTCATCACTTTTTATTATTTATAAATTGCCTAGCAATTTTGTAAATATACAAACAAGACCAAAAAGGACAGAAACCTTGGAAGGTGTAATTACAGTCTAATTCAATAAGATTCATTATATCATTAGTGATTTTAGTGCACAACCGTAATTTTTGATATTCATCAGGTATAAAAATACTCAAGCAATAAGGCTAAGTAGAACAAATACAGTTCTCAGGGCTCTGCCCTACATTTAGGCAATACTAAGTTTAGGCCAGAGGTCTCTAAAAATTTATACAAGCCCTATCCTTGTTACTGCTCGAGGTTCCTCAAAGAAATGTAATACCCGACTTTTGATTCTTCTGCTTATCTAAAATGTTGGGGTTTTGGTTTTTTGGGGGAAAATAAGAAAGATTCCCATTCTTATTTTTACTTGACTTGACTTTTTGTATTTGTTATTTTATCCCTGAAGTGACAATGCATTTTAATTCTCACAAAGTTTCAAGTATTATCCATCTTTCTTAGTTTAGATAGTATTTACTTCCAGAAAAACTCCACTAATAAAAGTTACTCTCAAACATTACAAAATTCTCATATACTTCTGGGTGAAGTTCCATATAAGATGGTCATTGAAATGCTTGACTAGAGAAAGAAACTTCTTGGATGAGAAGCAAAATGTTTTCAAAGGAAAAAAAATCCGAGAAAGTCCAGCTGCCTTTTGGAAAAAGCATTTTTGGGACAACTATAACTTGGAAGATTGAGAATCTTCATGATCAGAGAAAGCTTAACTGTATGTGTTTTAAGTGTCAGCTGAAAGTGGTAGCAATGATTGCAAGAATTTCATAATCTCACGTGTGAGATTGAAATTTTCCATGCTCCCCTAAAATAGCTAGAATTATAACAAGATAAACAAACCTATTTTAATTTCCATTCTGTAGAGTCAAGGATAACCATCTCTTCATATGTGCAATATTTAAATACGTAGACTGGGAATAGTTAGAAGCTCTCAAAACAGTCATTAGATTTGCAAGAGCTTGTTGATTATGAAATAAACCTACTTAAGAACCAGCCTTCTACTTTTGTTAAAAGCTGTTAAGAAAGAAAGTTATCATCAATAATCAGCTACCTTCTAATAGGAAGACTGCTTGCTTTTGGAAGATCTTCACCAGAGTGTCATCCAATTCTATTTCATGTAGCTTGGAAATTAGCTGTTCCTCATTTCGACAAACCTTCTCTTGTGCATACAAGCCATCAGGCATTATCCTCTGCTGACCCAATCCTATTAATGCCACTTCCACTGCTAGTGTTAAGTAAGATTCTCCTTCTTCTAAGAATTTGTGAGTAGGAAAGTGATAGTATTCCAGAGATTTGCATGGGCCCATGTTTTCTGGAACAAAAAGTTACAAAATAAAAACAATAAAGCCACTGAAAATGGTTTCTCTGAAGTTATATGCCTTGTTTATGCCTATTCTTTATCATTCATAAGCTTCCTATAGAGGTAGCAAAAATTGGCATGGTTACATTTTAGGCCTACTTTATACATCACACTAAGCCAAACGTTTGTTTTTGTTTCAGCATTTTCTACGAATATAGCCAATGTAGTTTGTAAATCATGGCTTATGTCGTATAATGTAACATTAATCAAGTCAATTATGTTGTATCCAATAAACCATAGATAAATAAAAGATGGCTTAGGTGTGATATGTGAGTCCTGTCTTACTGTATAAGCCACTCAGAACATAAAATTTTGAAACGTACAAAATAGCAAGTAAAATGTATTCACAGTGATTTGAATGGGAGTCAAATGCTGTCTTCTGAAAGCCGAAATATAAAACAGCAAAAGACTGAACAATGAATTAGGAAATCCTTATTTCTGTCATGAGTTCACTACATGGTCTTAAGGAAATCTGTGTTTCATATTCTTTGCCATCCTTCACCTGCAATATGCACGATAACAATACTGACTAAATCACAGCAAAGTAGTAAGAATCATTTTGGGAGCCACCCAGACTTCAATATAAGATGGGCAGCTATGCAAATGTTTAATATAAATAAATTATATTAAATAATTTAAAATGAAAGTAAATTATAAATAATTTATAATATGAACAGTTGAACATGAAATGCAATGTTATTAATATTCTTAATATCAAGTCAGGTAATAAAGACCACATGCTCTGAATTCAGAAAAGGTCCCAAATTCAATCCCAGACATCCTAAATTGAAAAAGAATTTGCTACATACATTCTTCCTTATATTGGTATTCTACAGATTAGCTGAGGTTATAAGTCCCTGAAATCTTCAGCCACATTGGCTGAGTACCAACACATTTGGAAGGCACCAATTGAGTGAACGTATACCTTTCTCGCTATAAGGCAGATTGATACATTCAGTCAATAAGATAAACCACTGATCACTCAGAACAAACTTCTGTTTCCTTAATTTCCCTTTCTTAAGCATTTTCAATATCCCTGTTTCACGGAATGTTTTAATTATGAAACATTTTGGCTCAAACTCATTGCTAACAGTTCCAAAACTAATTCTTTAGTTAACATGCAATGACTAATAAAATGCAACTTGTTTTAAAATGCTGAATGCACATACACAACTGGTACAAGGTAAGATTTTACCTGTGAAATCTGAGAACACATGGAAGCTTTCATCGTCCACTCTGCAGGCTTCCATAAGGCTACTGAAAAGAGTGCCAATTGGGTCCAATGGATGCCCAACCCAACCTTCTAGATTTGTAATAGAGGTAACACCTTTGTGAAGAAGTTCTACATAAAAAAAAAACAAGCACACATATTGATTGTATGATAACAATTGTATTTATATTGTTTACAGAATTTTAAAATGCAGAATACATGTATTTCTTTTTCTTATCAGTTAGACTTTTCCAAATCAGGAAAATGAAACCTAGGAATGAGTGGCCATAAAGGAGACAGAATCTGAATTCAGATCTCTAAAATGCCCATCAAAGGGTTCACAATGGATGAAATACGGCAATGCCAGTAGCTGAAATTTTAAATAACTATATAGCATTGCTTAGCTTTTTCAAATTTCAGCAATGAAGAGGAACCCTGGTCAGTTAGAAATAATCAAGATAAAGCAAGGTCTCATTTCCTAGGAATCAAAAATGTTGGCTCTACTAACAACAACAACAAAAGCTGTCTAAAGGTTTTACTTGTTGTTGTTGTGAATAGTTTATCCAAACTATCTTTAGGGCTATTTCTACAGAATTTATAAACAGGAAGCATACTTATGTTATTCACAGAAGAGATATTTTAGTTTTTCCATTAAAAAAAAGGGTCAGTATTTTAATTAAGAATTCTTTACAATTGAAGCCAAGACACTAAATATTTGAATGGGTAACTTCCATGAGAATTTGTGTCACATGGAATAGAGGAGGTACATTATGGATAGTTCACTGCCAGTAAATGAAAACAACCATTTCCTGAGCCCCCACCAATCTTCAGAGGGTTGGCTATCTATTCAAGATTCCAGGAAATACTAACACAAATTTTAATTCTACTTAAAGAGAAGAGAACTGGAGGCAACAACAGCAAATGGAACAGTAAAAAGGGATACTACAGATAAGTTACTTAGCTCAAGCAGCTCCTATAAATTTTTTGTTTGAGGCTCACAGAATCTATAGAAGAGTTTAGGTGCAGATGAATACAGCTCCAGCCTTACTGTCTTTAACCACCATGTATTCAGGTTGGAAGTCTGAGAGGTGGATATATTTGTGTTCAGTTTTCTTCATGAGCCAGGTCTGGAATAAAGCTGGGCTCTTTGTCACACTGCCATATGGACTCATTGCAAGCCAACATGAATACAGATCATTACAGACCTCTCACCTGAATGAGTGGAAGCTAGAGAAAGATACAAAAGCGGCTATGTGCACAGCAAGTACTCTCCCCACTTTCAACTTTCTAGACATTCAAGCAAATGTCTGAATGATCAGCATGTGCTCTATCACTAAAGTCTTCAAGAAAAGCCTTAAGGACTCTGCCTTATGTCTCCAAGCAGTTCCACCCAATGCTGTCCACATTATGGAGGGAGAGGCAGGGGCATTGCAAATGTGAACAGGCCTACAAAAACCACCAGTATATATCTGCCTAATCCTCTGCAGATATGTAAAAATGTACAGATCGAAGCAGTCGTGGAAGGGTTAGGGTCATATACATCGCTCTATATTTTCTCTGTACCATATTAATAGTATTATACCCACCCTCTTTGGTTTTCAAAGACAGCTTTAGTTCCATTTTCCCTATAAACAAGAATCCTTATTTGGTAGCTTTCTGATCCTGTAGATGGGGTGTTATTCAAAACTGAATTAGATCCCATCTCTTGGATTTACTAGGCAAGACCTCACCCAGTGTTGATTGACACTATCTCAAAAAAAAGAGAAAGAATCTGTATCTGAACTACAATCAGTACAGAAGCATGGGAATGAGCTTCACAGTTACACATAATACTTTCAGGGAGAGGGCAGAGATCTTATCTTTTCATCCAAGGACACTGGTGTATTTTGTCACCTATGAGTGAGTGAGCAATGTACTAACAAAGACAGTAAACTGACTATGCTTTCACAAACCCAGATTTTTAATTTTATTTTTGCTCAGATTACATGAATGTCCCAAAGAGGCTTTTTTCCAAGGGGCAATTGGACTTCCTGGTTTTTCTTTGAAGACATTTCATTTCTCATCCAAGAAGCTTCTTCAAAGTGAAACGTCTTCAAAGAAAAACCAGAAAGTCCAAATGCCCCTTGGAGAAAAGCCTCTTTGGGACAACCATGACCTGGATGACTGAGAATCTCCATAGACAAGTACATGGGGAACTTTCTCAGAACTCATGCGAGAAGCCGTATGATTTATGGATTCAGTCACGTCCCACAATCATATTTTTAAACTGTTAAATGAACAATCTTAACTACCCACCTAAATAAATACATTTTTTTTAAAAAAGCCCTGAAGAAGAATGTAGATGGTGGTTCTGCTATTTTACAATTAGATCATTATAAGTAGCTTGTTTCAGGAATATTTTCCCTGTAACATTCTGCACCTTGAATTTAAGATTAAGAGAAGAGAATGAAAGAACTCTTTGTACTGTTGTCTTACTGAGAGATACAGAGAAACAGCTTTATTCCTATCAGACATTTGGCAATGAACTGGCTCTTACCCCCACCCACCCCAGCTACCGTCACTGCAAACCTGCAGTGCTATACGTTCAATCATCACTTGCTTATTCTTAGTCTCATTCCAGACTTTTTCTCACCATGCTGCGTCCTTTGGCCTTTCCTCCTGCCCACATTTACCTTTCTTCTGGAACCGGAACATTTCCTGCTGCTTCTGCTGCTGTCTCCTTAGAGTATTAACAATAGCAATTGCCAGCCGCAGGGCTTCTCTTGGGTAGCCATGAGACCGGAGTGCATCTACTCGTGCACAAGCTGTAGGCACATGCTCTGACAAAGAGAAAGGGAAGGCATTGTTAAGTCTACTGGTGTCTGGAATAACCCCAATACAAAAGACCATTAAATGATTTTAGGAATCTACCGTGGGGGGGGGGGGGCAACCGAGTAGCCCATCTGAAAGGAAGCTCTGTTGTTCTCACCAGATGTTTCTGTCTTTTCTCTTCAACAACAACAACAACAACAACAACAACAAAAAGAAAGCATTGAAATCAGGGACATGTATTTCTTGCTAGGCCACTTACCATGCCAGAGGGGCCACCCGTGAGAATCAAAGAGCGAGTTTTGAGCTTCTTCATGGTAACAGTAGTTGGTATACAGATCACTGTTAATAATGTGCTGTAAGTGACTGTCCTGCCAATGGAGATCGCATGCCTCAATAGCTCGTGTGAACACTGTCCGGTGAGACCTGTTTGATGAATCTGCCAGCCCAAAGAGTTCGAAGAATTATATATTTTAAAATGTTTATATGGCCCCAAACCTTCCACATTCATTTCCTCCTTTCCATTCTCTCTTATTAACATCATTTTCACATAGATTTCATAACTTTGGATGGAATCAAAGCTACCCTACATCAACTTTCCTCCAAGTGGTTTCCTCCAATGACTTAACTCTCACAATTCCCAATCAACATCTGGGGATCATGAAGCTTGGAATAGTTGCTTTACATAATCAATTCACAAAGCTCAGTTAAGACTGAGCAGGAAAACAATATCCAAGTTTTATTATTATGATACAATTAGTCTACAAATGATTAGTTTGCACCATAGCTTCAAACCACACACATAAACAATGTATATTTAATATTCCATTTCAAGCAGGAACAATTATAGATATACAAGGATAATCATTTCTTTGATAGAGAAGAGGTTGAAGATTAATACCAAGGACACACAGATTTAAATTAATGCAAAAGCTGCTGAGGTACAGAGTTTTCTTTTTACTGTACAATGCCAACTTGGCATTTAAATGCTAACTTGGCATTTGACTGCACCCCTTCATACCACACAACCAGGAATTTGCAATGTGGTTTTAAGTAGCTGGAAGATGCTCTCCCTGCAATTATAATTTTAATCTGTTAGAAACTACAGCAGTACTGTCGACATCCTGAAGCAATTTTTGTTGGGGGTGTTACATAGCAGGGAAAGTTAGCAAATTAAATGAAATAATGTGAGTGATCTGAGAAAAATATATTAAAGAATTAGGGACTGAGTGTTTCAACCCAAATACTACAGTAGTATTGGCAGAAACTGAGAAACAGGGCTGTTTAGTACAACATTTGAACAAGGAAATGACCTATAGGCATTAGCCTCAAACTAACTACTTTCATCTGTTTTTATAAGGCACCAACATATACATTATGATATAAAAATACTGATATTTTATATATTGATTTTGTTTGATTTAAAACATTTTCATGATGCTGCAACCCCAGCAATTTAAATACACACAGTTCCTATTTAGTATAGCCTACTGGGTTTACATTGGAAGAACATCTACACAATGAAAGGCAATTCAGAACTAAATGTCAACCCAACATTCTATTAGCTGAAATACAGTCTTTGAAATGACCAAGAGAAAAATAACATGACTCGCATTACTGAAAATGTCTTGAGGTGTTGTCAGTGACTATACATACTATAGCCAGCAGAGCATGTACACTTCATCTTTTAGTTAATATTTTTCCACCAAAGGCTTGAAAAATCCAGAACACTAGCATTAGGATATTATTATGCTGAGGATGAAGGTTCATTCTCCAAGCTTGTGGGTTTGTTTCCAAACATTTCATTAGCAGGCTAAGTAAAATCTTCAGTGGAGTTAGGGTATGTCAGTGTCAGTATTCCTCTGTTTATAAGGGCTTCAAAGTGTGGGTGTGTCAAGTGAGGGTCAGGTGTGAGTCATCAGAGTCTCTTGTGATGGGTCTTGTAATAGGGAGGTTACATCAGGTCAGGGTCATTGGGAGGTGAGTGGTGGGGGTTGCATGGGTTGGTTGAGGGTCGGTGCTGTTACTATTATTATGCTTTTACAAAATGGTAAAGGTGCAACATCTTCAATTAAATCAAAGTTTACCTTGTATTCCATTTACACCCTGAGGCAGAGCATTGGTTAGACTTGGCAGATCATTTCCATGGTTCCCGTCTTCCCAGGGACACACATCAACACTGTTCCATTTCTTAAGCTGTTTCAGCCAACTGGCTTTCTGTTCCACCTTGCAATGGGGATTTAATACTATGCACATCCAAAGAGCACCTACAGAGAGACAGACAACATCCAATTCGGCTAGATACCTTGAAAGTTATGAAAAGAACTATACACACAGGTTTTTTTAAATGGATGCATTAACAAAGCTCTGTAACAGCTCATGCAAAAGGCACCCTTGAGAGCTTGCAGGAAATTTTATTTTATTTATCTAATTTATATAACCCCTCCCCACATCTTACAAACAAGTGACCCTTGCCAGCATATAAAAAACCCAAACAAATTAATCAAAAGAAATCAACTTGAAAATAAGCACATTGAAGGAAATCTGTTATGCAAACAAATATAAAGGTAAACAAAGGTGATGATCTCCATATGCAAAAAAACCCGCAATACTTTCAGTTTACCAATAAAAACATGCATTAAGTGATTTTCATGATACGTTCAATGAATTTGATCCTTGTGGACTATGCTAAAATAAGTAAATAAAAATAGATAATGTTTGGAATGAATGTTCAATGCAATGTTCTTTAAGTATGGATTATTATTTTCATTTCTTATAAATACATTTTTCCCAAGCATGTGCCACACAAAGGATCCCCCTATCTGGATGTGCATGTGAGAGATCTCCCCACTAAAACACCCCTTGCAATCATTGCAAGTGAACCACCAACAATTCAAATTTTACATCCCCTCCCCCCCCCAACTTGATTAAAATCTCTGAAAATATTTGATTCCCACTGTTGTTCTATATTGATCTATACTTTCTATCAATTCTATGCGGATTTTCTATTTTCAAAACTAGTGTGCAGATGTTCTATACTTCTCTCCATAACACAAGGGAGAATAAGCAACTTCTGGTTTTTTTTGCAATTATTTTTTGCCTTTTGTTAACCAAGGACAGAAATATACTTCATAAATACTGCTGCAATTATGTATGAGAAATCCTTCATTGAAATTTACAGATCTAATTTTCTGCTGACATTTAAGTCTGAACCAATCCAGGACCTCTATCTCTGACACTGCATGCTAATCGAGATATGAATAAATCAGGAACTGTTGGAACATTTTTAAATATAAAGATATTGCTCTTAAAATCAGCTATGTTGCAGACTCTTGACAAGCACAGTGAAGACATCTACAAGTACTATTTAGCAACACTTCATTTGTTCATCAAGGAAGAATTTTACATATTACAGAGACCTTCAGAATCTGTTAAAAATGAATGACAGCCTTTCAGAAAAGACATGCATGCAACTGAATATGACGGTAAAGAATGCAAATGGAAATCTGCAACTAAACCACAATCTATGCCAAACGTACTGTACCAAATCTTCAAAAGCAGTTCAAATGATTTTGTTATTTCTCAACAATTTGGAAAGTATTATTTAGTTAGTAGCAGCAAAACAAATCAAGCCAAAAGCTCACACTAGCCTTCCTTTTATTTTATTGTATAAACTGTACAGCATTTGCTTCCTGGAGAAGCTGGTAGATGTTTAACACAGAAAATGCCTGCTATTGTTTCACCGTTGAGAGAGAAATGCATTTACTGAAATATGCATTCAGAGATCTGCACGAAGGCAGGCTGGTTTTGTGCACTGCATGAAGTCTTATTTTTTCTTTAATATTTTGTATGAACATGGCACTGCAGCGGCGGGCAATGAGTAGCTCTAAAATCTGGCTTTTGGAGCCCTCTCTTGCCATTTTGAGTTGACAATCCCATGAATGAGTGAAAATCCTAAATTAGCCGTATAATTAAAACAAAGAAAGCTCTCACATTCACCCCCACCAAACAATCCTGCCCAAATGTGCAATGTGACCACACTCATCCTGTAACCAGATCAGTTTTTATATTAAATACTGCAGTTCATGATTTCAAGAGGAATTTAATCAATAAATGATAGCTGTTCAATTTCTGTGCATTTTGACATTTTTAACAAACAAGGGTGCAATGATAAAACTAAATGGTAATTCCTCCTTAATTTTAATATAACTCTGTAAAACCAATTAAAGAGCACAGAAATTTAATCCAGGCCCAAGCTTGGTTATATAAGGCATACACACATACACGGTATGTATAGTTCCTTTTCTTAATATTACTGGAACTCAACCTGCTAAGAGATTTTCCTGGCACAACGATAAGCACATATCATAAATCAATATGCAAATTCCATATTTCCCTGAAGATAATTGGAAGACTCATCATGCTGCAACTGCAATTTGGTATTAATTTCACACAAGAGAAAGACTATTAAAACTGTCACATCTTAGTGAGGTATTGTCAATTCTATTTTCACAATCATTATCTTGCTCTGAATTAGAGGTGGCTTTTCTTCATCAAACTTCTTGTTTCAATACAGACATTACAAAACCTATTCGACACTACTGTTTTATCCCCATCAGACAAACAGAATATAATCAGCAATCAGCGATAGAAGTTTATTCTTATATTATTAACCAAATAACTACATGATGGCAGTATTAAAGTCCTGTGTTGTATTAGCAGTAGGTGCTGTTAACAATATGCATCCATTTTTCCATCATAGCTATTAAGCATAGATGCTGTACGATTAATAATTGTTTCCTATAAACATTACGATATCCCAAAGATTCTTTTTCCAACTGGAATTTCTTAGCTTTTTCCTCTGAAAATATTTCGGTTCTCATTCAAAAGTCCTGAACCGAAGAAGCTTCTTAGATGAGAAGCAAAATATTTTCAAAGGAAAAAGGAAAAAAACCAAGAAAATCCATTTGGAAAAAACACCTTTGAGACAACCATGACCTAGATGATTGGGAATCTCCATAGACACACATTAGGATACTTGGCTTGCAATAAATCCATATCTGTTTGTGGAACTGCCTCACCCTGAGGGTATCTACACATCCTATTCAGTTAGATACAGTGATACACTCCAGGTCCCCTCCTTTAAATGTTACCACATGATGGGATCTCAGAGGTCTGTTTCTTGGTGCCTCTCACCCCAGATCTGAGGGATCCCAATCTTTTAGCCTTCTGAAGAGTCATGAAGACCTGGCTCTACCCCCCCTCCCCCCAAAAATTGCTATGAGCTTGAGATTGACCTGGGAAGCTGCTTGGTCTAGCATCTCAGCGTAAGGTTAGTTTTGTTCATTTTTATGGATTTTTTTGAGCTTCCTAGAGTCCATTATATGAGATAGGTGGCCACATAAGTCCAGAAAGAAAACCAGTCAATCAATCTATCAGTCTCTCATTCTGTTAGCATTCCTTAAGGATGAATACCTGGCTATTCTCTTAGGGGTTGGGTTAAGACACATGGACCTCCTCACTGGATGTCTTTTCCCCCTATATTTTTAGAAAGCCACTGAATCCCATCTTGTTTTGTTCTGTAATGTGTTTTTAAGGTTTATTATAGAGGTACACCCTAGAGTTCGGTTTGAAGTTTTTTAATTATTAATCAAATTAAACTAATTTAAATTAAAAATAAACAAATAAGGCTTTTGGGGGTTAGCTATTCCCAGTTGTTTGATCCTTAGGTTAGGTGCCAATGAATTTTTTTATTACTATTTTTAATTTAGTGTGTGTTTATGCTGTTTATGCTATGCCATACACTGCTGGGAGTTAGAGCTTATAATAATAAGCCTGCCCTCTGGGATAATATCCCCCAAAAGATCTGAATAGCTCCCAGTCCGATGAAGTTCCAAAAGCTATTAAATATTTGCTGTTTTCCCAGCTTTAGAGTAGGGTGATAGTTGAGCCCCTATCACATAGGGTATGGTTTACATGTTTATCATTGGGATTGCTCATGAGTTGTCACTTTTTTATACTTGTTCCTATTTTTTTAAATGAAAGCTGGCCAGAGTTATTAGTAGTCAAGTGGCCTCTAAATTGCAATTGTAATCTAATTTAACTCTTTTTTTTAAAGAACTGCTACTAGAACATCCAAACATCATCCAAAAAGAGAGCAAATATTCCATAACATAAGCTCACCTCCATATAATCCACCAGTCTTAAAGAGGCTCTTTATACATTAGGGACAAGAAGTAGTAGAACATTATTATTCTGCAATATGGAGCATGATGCAGTCAGTATGGATCCTAAAATCCTATATTAATGCGGAAAATATTAATAATGAAATGCCGAGTTAAGGTTAAGCCATTTTAAATTCTCTATAAAGCACAATTTTTTTCACTAGTCCAAAAATGCACTTAGGCTGCATAATTTATTCAAACTACAACTTTTGTCATGGCATATTTTTTTCAAAATGTTATTTTACCACAATCTGCTACAGAGGCAGATACTAGAAAAATGTCAAGATGGTGAATATTTATTTATGTAGACACCTACGTTTTAAACCGGTCTAAATCTTTTAACCCACTATCATGGTAATACTGACAGCCAATTTGGCATAGTGGTTAAAGGCACTAAACTAGAAACTAGAGACTGTGAATTAATGTCTTGAAAGCACCCAAAAAAGTATTTTTGGTGATGTGAAATATAAATGACATTTTTGAAAATAAGGAAATATTGTCTATCCTAATGGAAAACTTAGATCTTATTCAATAAATCCCTCCCTCCTTCAAAGATGAATACTCCCAATTGTTACCAAAACAAATTCAGCCCATTAGAGATTCATTAGTGCTAAAAGTAAATCCAAGGCCCCAATGGATAATGATCTAATTAGATCAGTATCTTCATGAACAGAATATATAAGTACTCTAGTACTGTTTAATTCATGAACTCTCTCTAGGATATGAGGATATACTACCACTTTTGAGGGTTCCAGCTTTTACTCATGAACATCGCCTCAGTAAAATCCAAATCACTTAAATAGTACTCGTAGTACTCAAGGTGCTGAAGTTCTTGGACTACTGAATGTTTTATCTTGTTCTAATTCGTTTTGTTACTGATTCAAACTTTGATATATTGGTTTTGACAAGTGTTTCACTGTGTATGATATTATAATCACTCCCTGTGCATTTCATACTAGATGGCTGATTAATGTAATAGATTATTTGCAGCAGTTACGGCAAAGGAAAACGATGTAGTTTCTATAAGCTACATTTTGTATACG